AATGGTGCTTTATAAAATCAGCTGCTTGCTAACTATAATAAGGATTATGCACCTTTGCTACTAATTAGTTCTGAAAGACAGAGTTATATTTACATTCATCTAACATATTATTGTGTTAAAGAAAAGATATATCTTGTTAAATTTTTAAAATTTTCAGTATCTTATACATAGTATGCTCAGTACATGCCTTTGGAATCAGTGAAACTAATTCACCCTTTTCTCAGCATTAACAATTATTGTTAGCAATGAGGAAACATTTTTTGGCACATTTATATAACAGTTTTACAATGTGGGTTATAATTTTTATTATTTTTAAACATATTAATCTGATAGAAAATGAATTCTTGATGTAATTTTAATTTGCACTTCTTTTGAGTGACTAGAACATTTTTCCCACTAACTTAGTGTTTGATTCTTTTTCTATTTATATTTTTATCTATTTTTCTATAGGATTGTTTATTTCTTATTCTTAGAAGTTCTTTTTATTGTAGAGAAATTAGCCTTTTGTCTCTGATAGGAGATGCAAATATTTTTCTCTGGGTTGTGGTGTTTTGGCATTGCTTATAAATTTTGATCTAACAGAATTAAAAAACAAACCTTTTTAAAATAAAGTTAAATTCATCATTTTTATTCAGACTTTATTTCTTCTAGATTGTGTCAAACATAGAAGGCCTTTTTCAATCTGATTTACTTAAACATCCTCAAATAGTTTCCTCTAATACTTTTGCAGTTTCAATTTTACTTTTGATTCGCCTGGAATATATTTTGATGTATTGTGAGATAGGATTCGATAATTTCTGTCCTCAATCACTATCCATTTGCCCCAAACCATTAATTGAATAAGTCATCCCCTTTTTACTACTTTAAGTTGCCATCTCACCGTAAGCTAAATTCATGTTACATTAAGGAGCTTCAAAATTGAATATAGTTTGGGACAGCATCCCTGTTTTCCTTATCCCTTTACAGTTTAGTCAGAAATCCCGTTCTGTGCCACTGGTCCTAGTGTCTGTGCACACCCCAGACTGCTGTGTCAGTGTCTACTGGCATGTAGTGAAAAGGCGAGTGTCCACGTGCACTTACTATCGGAACTTCCTTGAATATTCTTGCTGCTTATTTTCCACCTGAAATTTACAATCAGACTGCCCACTACTTCTCAAATAATGCCAAAACCAAGACCAAGGCCAACAGCAGCAGTAGCCCTGGGATATTTCTGTGGGTTTGTGTTACTTTCATAGTCTCTAGCTCTCATCCTAGCTATTGCTGGTAAGCATATTGAAATCACTGATAAATGAAGTCTCTTCCATTTTATCTGTGAGCTAATTCTGAAAGGAGTTTTAGGAGTAAAGTAGGCAGGATTAGGGAGTTTTAGGAATGAAAATGGTCCGTGGGAAGGAATGAGACTTGAAGAAACCAACTCATGACTCCAACCAACAAGTAAGAGGACAGAGCAATGCCACAGGCAAATAGAAATATATCTGGCCTGTGCAATTAAGACAGCCATAAACTGAGGACAGACAAGGGTAACTCTGGCCTGAGCAATTAAAGTGATCGTAAGTTAGGCCAAAAGTAGTCCTGACCTGAGTAGCTGGGAGAGCCGTAAGATAGGCTTTCTCTGCCAACACAACTACCATGAGAGCTGTAAGATAAATCAACAGTGACTCCGCCAACAAGTGAGGGGGAGAGGAGGTTGGGGGGACACCACGTGGGCTTTGAGCTTGAACACTAATTCTATGCAGCAGTAGGGCCAATAAGAAGGGGTCAGGCCAAAGCCGGTTTGGCTCAATGGATAGAGCGTCGGCTTGGGGACTGAAGGGACCCGGGTTTGATTCCGGACAGAGGCATGTACCTTGGTTGCGGGCATATCCCCAGTGGGGGATGTGCAAGAGGCAGCTGATCGATGACTCTCTCTCATCGATGTTTCTAGCTCTCTATCTCTCTCCCTTCCTCTCTGTACAAAATCAATAAAATATATTAAAAAAAGAAAAAAAAGAAAAAAAAAAAAAAAGAAGGGGTCAGGTTCAGCCAAAGAACTGCAGCCTCGTTAATGCCTCAAGACAAAGGGGCAGCACTCACCCTTCTCAGGGGCCCCTCTGTCCGTCCAGAAGGGGCAGAGTCTGAGGCTTAGAATTCAGAATTAGGTTTTAGAGGCAGAGTCTGCTTTCAGTAAAGTTTCTGTACTTTTTACCTATTACCTTTTGCCCGTGGCTTTGTTCTTCAAATCCATCAGGACAACTACCCAGGGAAGCAAACCCACCCTGCTCAATAAATCAACCTGAATCAATTCCTTCTGAACTGGTTGCAGGAACACTCATGCTTTCATGACTGCCTTGGGCTGTTGTTCCGGGCTCCGAGCCTCAGCAATCCTGATATCCCTCTATTCATTTTTTTCCTATCAGTTCATGCTAAAGCTTATTTTTAAGTGGTTTGTTCAAAATCACAAGGGACTTACCATAATACTCTTTTTATTAACTTCCTTTAGACAGAAAAGTCTTATGATCCTGACACAGTCGTGCAGTTATCCCAATTCAAACTGCATGTTGTGATCCTGCCCTCTCAGCGTATAAGCATACTTTTCACTTGTGTGGCTAAGGATTCACACACAGCAGTGGTTCTGACTGCTGTCTACGTCACCATTCAGGTGAAGTACATGGTCTGACTTGTAGCTTTCCTTCCATCCCTCAGCAGAGAGCTAAAATTAACATTTGTAATCAATAAACATACTCCACAGGGTGAAAGAGAAAAAAGAAACGCAGTAAAAGAATTTTAAAATGTATGTCAGTAGGCATTTCACAAGATAAAATTTTTTAAAGCTAAAATTTAAAAGAAGTTCTGCTCATCATTGACTAAATATATCTTTAAATCTATAAGCAATGGGCAAGCAATCATTAATATTTACACATAAACACAAAAGACTGAAGAAATAAAATAAACAAAATGGGTACATTCTTAAAATCAGAATGGCTGTAGGATTTGCATGAGAAATGCAGAAACTTGTATAGGCCTTGTGGTCTCATTATTGTAGGGATGAAAACTAATAACTAATGGTTGGAGTACATTCTTTGACTCAGGTACTATGCTAAGCATTCTACGAAATCTTTGCTAAGACCCGTGGCCTGGGTACAATTACTATATCCATTTTGTATATAAAAAAAAAAAACCTTAATAAGCCATTTGTCTAAAGCCAGCCAGTTACCAGCTGGCAGACCAGGATTTATACCTAGGAAGCCTTACTGCAGACCACAACGCTGCGATAATGTACATGTGAGAAGCCAGAATGGGAGCATTTGCAAGATTTCTTCCATTCTGGAGTGCTTACGATAAAAAAAATAAATAAATTTTTAAAAATCAGCTTTAGAGAAGTCTAATTGTCATAATAAAACTCACCAGTTTTCTGCACAATTAGATGCATCTTGAAAATATGTCTTCAGTAGTGTAAGCATAACCAAACTTATAATTCCCACTAACCCAGAAAGTTTCCTCATGCTCCTTCACAGTTGAGTCCTTTATCACCATACTCCCTGGCTCTTGGCAATCACTGATTTTTCCGTTATGAGAATTATGTCTTTTCTAAAATTTCATATAAATTGGATCATACAGTCTTTTGAGGATACATTTTTAAAGGTAACTTAATGTATTTCAGATTAATGATATCATTGTTAAGATATTACCTTTTATTGTTGAGTAATATTCCGTTGCATGGGTAGGACATAATTTGTTTAACTATTTACCAACTAATGGACATTATTTTTAGTTTGGGGCACTCATCTGCTCATGCCTGAACCTTGTAATATTTCAAACTCTGGCTCTGTCATTAGCTGTGCCCCAGGGCAAGTTATTAAACCTCCCTGAGTCTTAGTTTCTTTTCCTACAAATTGGAGACAATAATAATTACTTTCAAAAGTTGTTGTGAGATTTAAATATTAATGTTTTTAAGTCCTTCACACATGTAAATACCTTAGTATGTAGTGATTTTTTTCATCTTTAAACAATGGGATAACAATAACCGCTTTCCTATCTCACAGATGAGAAGAATGTGCATGAAAATGTAAAGCACTATATAAACGTCACTTCCAGCTCCTGGCAATCAATTAGTATGGATTGCAGTGCTCCTGCACTATCAGAGAGCTAAACACGGAGGAGAGTGGGGTCCATTTTACAACTCCAACCAAATTGCTGCTTTCCCATTAAAATGGCGCAGACTTGCTCAATGGAAACAAATCCACCTAAGTCTTGCTCAAAAACACTTTTCAAGTTATTAATTTTAAAGCCACCAATATAGGTTAGTGATAAATAATTTAAGGATGTTACATTAGAGTGGGTAGATTTTGGTAAAAGTCTTTGTGGCTTGTGTTTTTTTCCATTTTAATTTACTAGATGTTGATACGTGTTGGTGCTGAGTATTGTGGTAATTAATGCTTGTCTGCATTTCCAAAGGAATCTTGGATTTTGGTACAAACACGAGAGAGGCAGGGAGCCAGTCCTCTAAAGACATAATTTTCACCACTAGCAAATCTAAGTGAGTCCTTTCTGAATCATTTCACACAGGGTTCCCAGAATTTAAATTTTATTTGAGGGGAATTCCTTTTTTCCCTACAGTGTTATTGGAGTTCACCACGTAATCTACCGGAAGTTAGTCCACCTCTCACAATAGGAATGCTCTAAAAACATGTCCCTTTGGTTGTTTTCATCTGCAACAAACATTAACATCATTTGTCTGATGGAAGCATGAATAAGCCAGATTCAGAAAGTTGTTTAGGCTTCTTCCAAGGAAACTTTTCCCCTCGTAATCAGTTTTGTGCCCTCTCACTTTTCTCTCTCCTCAATTATATAATACTTGGAATTCACTGAAGCCTGGCATGTGCTTTGGAATATTTTTATTTTCCATCAGAAGGCTCACAATATTACCCTGCAAATAACCAGGAATCAAGAAATGACTTTTGAGTGAATTTATTTAGTCTTTGGAACAATGCCTTTTGTAGTGAAGTCTCAGTTGAAAAGGACTACTTACGAGTTGTTTCCCTCAGAGTAAGATTGGAAGGTACTTTCTTTCTTTCTGGAAGAATAAAATCCGCATGTCCGGGTGAAAGTTTAGGAAATGTAAAATTGATGTATTCTTGAAATGCCATTCTTGTTTCTTGTAATTCCTCCTCCAAGAAATCTCTCCAATTTGTCATAATTCCCAGTTGTTGTGCTACCGACACCAGCTCCTCCTGAGTGTTGACCAGTTTGTCCATCACATTTCCAAGTGTGGCCTGATGGGCTTTCTCCGCTTCCTGCAGCACTTCCTGGACTTCCTCCTGCTTCTGCCTCTGAGCCATGCAGTATAAGATGTTCATCTCATGGTCTTTTTCCTTCACCATTTTGCTCACACTCTTCCTCTCATCCTTAACGACGGTCACACCAGCACTCATGAATTCCTCCATGACCTTACTACAAAGGATAATATGGGTTTGTAAGTTAGATGGACTAGCCACTAAAAACAGAAAGATTTTGTCTTTCAGCACAGTTACATGAGAATTTATTGCATCGTGTAGGTGAGACACCAGGCTGAGACAGCCTGGTAGAGATGGGCTTCTGGATTCCATTAGCTGTTAACAATCAAGAAACATTTTTCAGAGTAGGGAGGTCATCCATGGACTTCCCCACTGTGGGCTAAAAGAAAAAAAGAAAAAGGCCACCAGTCTAGTGTCTGGCAGTAACTTTAGGAACCTAAGTCCACCTTGGCCAGAAAAATATGAGTGTAGTGTGCTTAAAAATGAAGATACAGCCTTAGCCAGTTTTGCTCAATGGTTGGAGCACCGGCCGGCAGACTGAAGGGTCATGGGTTTGATTCCTGTCAAGGGCATGTACCTCGGATGCACACTTGATTCCTGGCCCCAGTTGGGGCATGTGTGGGAGGCAACCAATCCATGTGTCTCACTCACATTGATGTTTCTCTCTCTGTCTCTCCTGCTCCCTTTGACTCTTTCTAAAAATCAATGAGAAAAATACCCTCAGATGAGGATTAACAAAAAAGACTGAACCATGACCTCCTGGTTCGCAGGATGATGCTCAACCACTAAGCTACGGTGGTCAGGCGAGAAATTATTTCTGTATATCAATCCAGCTACCTCCCTTTAGCCAGAAGGGAAAACACGGTACTCACAAGTCAGGTTGAGCTCTGATTTTGATTTTATCTGAGCAATACTCTGGTCTCAAACCTTTTGGTCTCCAAACCTTTTTATTCTTCAAATGACCAAGGAACTTTTGTTTATATGGGTTATATCTAGTGACATTAACAGTATTAGAAATTAATAGTAAGACAAAAATATTTATAAATTCATATTAGTAAATCTATTCAATATTAACATAACTTTTATGAAAAGTATATTTTCCAAATCAAAATAACTTTTGATAAGAAAAGTGGCATAATTTTACATTTTTAGGAAAACTCTTTACTGTCTGGGTTAGTAGGGGAAAAGCTGATTTCATATTGTTTCAATCTGTTGTGATACCCCACATCATAAAATCCTGGAAAATACCACTATATACTCCTTAGATAATGAGAGTAAAAAGGTAAATAACACCTTAGTATTATTAAGAAAATAGCTTTAAACTCATGGACCCCCAAAAGGGCTTGGGGGCCACACTTTAAGAACTACTGCTGAGTGAATTCACAGACCTGTAGCTACAATGTATGTAATTAGATATAATCTATAGCAGCCTACTGTGCTGAATTCTGACCTTCTGCCACACAGGTTAAGGAGCATCCTGTGCATATATATTGAGTTAATGATTCCTCACAACAACCCCATGAGGTGGGCCTATTATTATACCTACTTTACAGATCAGGAAACAGGCTCAGCAAGACCAATATGCCAATTTCACATCATTAGTCAAAGTGGCAAAAAAGACCCAGGCAGTCAGAGTGGTCTTAGCCACTGTGAAGAACTTCCAATGGGTGTCTCTGGTTAGCCTAGTTTGGTAGAACCTCTAAAGATTGGAAAATTTAAGAACACCTATAAATATTGTATTTAAACATTTATGGTTGTTACTAACTGTCCCCCCTCCCCGTCTTCTAGACTAATACAGTCTTTCCAAGATTTTCATATTATTTCAACCACCTTGCCTTTCTTCTAAAATTGATCCTCCAAGATGCAATTAGTTCTCATTATCTCTGATCTTTAAACTTGACTTTCAAACCTGACAGACTTTCCTAGTCTTGAGGTAAAAGGTAAAGGACAACTGGCTTAGTAGAAAAAAAGCTTAACCTCTTTAACTGCTATGCTATTTCTCCTTTTCCCAGCAACTAGACTATATCCATCATTAATGACAAGGATTAACATTTATTGGGTATTTACTATGTCCTAGGGACAATGGTAAGCATTTTACATGCATTCCATTCCGTTTAATTTTAACAATAACCCACTGAAGCTGGTATGATTTTTATTCATCACCTCTTATTATTCCCACATAGCAGATGAGAAAATTAAGGCTTAGAGAGATCAATTGAGAAGGTGGGATAGTTCCTACCCTTCACCATTACCTGCTTCAATCATGTAAGAGGCCACTATAAATTTTATATAGGGAGAAGGGTAATACTATAATAATAATTTTTTAGAATTGTTATTCTGGCAATATCAGATAAATCGAATCTTACATAGGATAAAGTAAAGAGACAAATTTATACTATTTTGCAATATCCTGGGAGTGCAAAGTTAGGGTCTGAATGCATGGCATGATGAAAGAGAAAGAAATAGGAAGAAAGAAAGGGATAAATCCAAGAAATATTACACAGTCATTAAGGAGTTACGACTGCCAGGGGATAGTGGAGGCAGAAAGAGGAGGAATCAAAACCGCCTTCCCGATTCTCAGCCTGGGTCACAGGAGAGTGGAGGCGCTGTCATGGAAGGGCCAGCACGGACCAAGGTGGGAGCATGCATCTGCCCCACCTCGGGGTTCAGCCTGATGTTGGATGGCATCTGCACAATGGGGGTGAGACTGTGAAGGTGGTGGCCAGGCCCTGGCGCTCAGACAGAGGAACAAAGGAAGCTTCCTGGAGCCAGCCCCAAATGCCCGAGGAGAAGTTGTGCCCTTCCCCAGAACCACAGCTCCGTGACCAGCGGGCCTGGCTTCCGGGCACCACAGAGGGGGTGTTCGTCCATGAGGCCGACTCGAAGGCTCCACGCGAGGTGATCGCAGGTAAAACTGCTCAAATAAAGTGCATCTTAGGCGACTCCTACTCTTACCCTCCATGACATAACCCCCTTTAAATGCCTTACTAGCAAAATCTGTTCTTGCCACGAGGATCTGGTCTATTTTTTGGAATGCTCTTTGCAACTTTCCCGGCCTGCCTTAGAGCATGAATTTTTGACCCTTTGGGATTCACGCCTTTTGGTTTAAGGTCAGGAAGTGTCTGACTTTAATTCTGATGACTTCTTTGAAGTTGTGGAGTGGAAGCCAGGAGGAAGGAGGGTGTAGGGCATGGAGAGGGGGAAGCAGAGGGCCCGGAGTGCCCATTCACCTTTGTATCTCTCCTGCCTGGCATGGTGCCCGGTGTGTATACCACAGGCAACCAATAAATATGTGAAATGGGTAATATAGGTGTCGTTCCCTCAATACTTTTTTTGTGTGCCAAATAACACCACATTTTAAAACAGCTAAATCAGAGTAATTACAAAAGCCTAAAAGATTCATACTTTAAAAAATTTTTTAAAATATATTTTATTGATTTTTTACAGAGAGGAAGGAGAGGGATAGCTAGAAACATCAATGAGAGAGAAATATCGACCAGCTGCCTCTTGCACACCCCCTACCAGGGATATGCTCACAACCAATGTATATGCCCTTGACTGAAATCGAACCTGGGACCTTTCAGTCCACAGACCAACGCTCTATCCACTGAGCCAAACCGGTTTCAGCTAAAAGACTGATACTTAAAAAGGATTCTCAGCATAAGCAAAATACGGTAAGTTCTTGTCATATATATAAAATGTTGTTTTGGAAAGTGGGTCTGGAAAGCATATCATATGAGGAAGGACCGAAGCAGCTGGCTTACTTTTTGGCTTTTCCTTCCCTTCACACTAAAGCTTGGACAATCTCTCCTCAAGTATCTGAAGGATCACCGTGCACTGAGGGCAGACTCAGCATATTTTCTTTTAAAATATGTTTTTATTGATTTCAGAGAGGAAGGGAGAGGGAGAGACAGAAACATCATCGATGGGGAGAATAATTGATTGGCTGCTTCCTGCACGCCCCCCACTGGGGGCTGAGCTGCAACCCAGCATGTGCCTTTGACTGGAATTAAACCTGGGACTCTTCAGTCCACAGGCTGACATTCTATCCACTGAGCCAGGCCAGCTAGGGTCGGCATATTTTGGATCCACTTTAGGCAGAAGGTTCAGCATTGGAACCAACCACCTCAACCAGCCATGGCATTCCTATCACGGGAGTCCTTAGGGGGCTTACTCACGCCTGGCAGGCAGCCAGCAGGAAGGATGGCAGGCTCTACTCAAAGACCTCCAACGCCCCTCCCAAGGGGAAGGGAATGCCTATGCTTCTTTGTGCAGAACCTTTTCAAGCAAAGGTTCTTCCTTTTTTTAGTATCTCCTAGATAATCTGTTTAGAATCTAATCACTTCAACCCACAAAAAAGTTTTCTGTGCATTTAACAGATTTGTCATAATATGTAAGAATTCTTACATCTTTTTTTAAAATATATTTTTATTGATTTTGTATAGAGAGGAAGGGAGAGAGATAGAGAGTTAGAAGCATCGATGAGAGAGTCATCGATAAGCTGCCTCTTGCACACCCCCTACTGGGGATGTGCCCGCAACCAAGGTACACGCCCTTGACCGGAATCGAACCCAGGACCCTTCAGTCCCCAAGCCGATGCTCTATCCATTGAGCCAAACCAGTCTTGGCAATCTTTTTTTAAAAAAATATATATTTTATTGATATTTTACAGAGAGGAGGAAGGGAGAGAGATAGAGAGCTAGAAATGTCAATGAGAGAGAAACATCGACCAGCTGCCTCTTGCACACCCCCTACCGGGGATGTGCCCGCAACCAACGTACATGCCCTTGATCGAACCTGGGACCTTTCAGTCTGCAGACCGATGCTTTACCAAGCCGAACCGGTTTCAGCGGAATCCTTACATCTTAAGTGAAGGTTTATAGACAAATAAAAGGACTCTGGGCAGAATTCTAAACAGCGGATCTTCTGTCTGTACTAATTTGTGCAATGCTTTAAAGAACACTGGAATCTATAGAATCGGTTCAGCTGATTGGAACACATCGGAACCTTTGTTTGGTAAACATTTAAAGAATGCCTCCCACACACCAGGCTCTCTTCCAGGCGTTTGGAACACATCAATGAACAAAATGGGCCTTCCAGTTGCATATACTTAAACAACAGGCATGGAAGTTCCCTAATCCTAGTCAACTGACTTAATTAGAGGAGGCCATTGAAAATCTTTCCTTCAAACCTCACAGAGAAAACGGAGGGGGGTGGAAGCAGCGGAGTGAGGGGAGGAGCAGAAGCTGCGGTGTGAGGAGTGGACCCCTGGACCCAGAGGCTCCTGCAGGACGAGCAGGGCCCCTGATGACCGAGGGAGGGCGGGGCATCACTTTCCACTGCACTGGGCCACACTCTTTTGGGAGTTACCACCTTCTCTTACTTTCTCCTGAAATCTCTTTCACCTTCCTCGTCTCTCTCAACAATGATCTACCATGATTTATCACCGAGGCAAGAAATGGCCACAGCTGCAGCTCTCATTCTTACTGACCTACAGAATAATAATCCTACAGGATTTTACCTTTGGCACTGTTCTAAATAGTCCATCAAGGAAGACTTTACCTGTTAATCATATACAGATTTGTTAACTCAAGAAGCAAAACAGAAGAGGTAAGTCCTAGACGAGGAAGCCAGATACAGAGGTTTCAGTCTTGTTCTGCCTCTACAGGGCAGGTCACTTAACATGTGGAAACTGGCTTTCTTGTTCTCGATAATCACTAAAGCTCTTTACTGCTGTCTTGTTTTAGCTCATCCCACCAAACATTCTTAAAAAATATATACAGATTATCTGATTTATGTAAAAACTATTTGTGATTGTGCACATATATAATAAGGCTGCAAACATATTAAAAGGGCATCGAAAGCCGGCTGCCATGGCTCAGTGGTTGAGTGTCGACATATGAACCAGGAGGTCACTGTACAATTTCCAGTCAGAGCACATGCCCAGGGTTGTGGGCTCCATCCCCGATAGGGCGAATGCAGGAGGCAGCCTTTCAATGATTCTCATCATTGATGTTTCTACCTACCTCTCCCTCTTCCTTCCTCTCTGAAATCAATAAAAAATATATATTTTACAACAGGGCATGGAAAGACACAGACCCAATTATTTAAAATGATTGCCTCTAGAAGACAGCGAGAGGTAGGGAAGCAGTGAGTCAGGACTTAGCAAATTTGCTATGTATTTTTTCATAATGTTAGTTTCATCTACAATGTGCAAGAAGATAAAAAAAAGAACACATCCATAATAGTATAGATTATAGGCTAAAAAAATGTGTCTTTTATGTGTTGTGGAAAAAATACTTCTCAATTCTTCTCCTCAGCCTCTTAAAACCAAGTATACAGAATGAAAAACAATATTTAGGACAGTAGTTATCTTTTGAAAGCGAGGAGAGGAAGTGTTACCAATTTCCAACCCCTTCAAAGGGGTGGTTAGTCTTTGGGTATTCATGTTATTATTTTTTTAAACCACGCACACACACAAACACACACATACACACACACACACATCCATGCACACACACTCCACACTCCAGATTATTCTCTATGATATATCCCATAATATAAAAAAAACACAGTAACTGGAAACTATCCACCTGTGTGCCTCAATCTTATCTCTTTCTTCAAGTGGGTTCTGACAGAACAAGATACTAATTTGCAAACATGATCTCGAATACCTTTTCTGGGCCAGGATGGCTCCCTGGGCCAGCAGCCTCTCCTCGGCCCTGGCTTTCTCCACAGCCTCCGTCTTCTCCTTATGGCACTCCATCATGATCCTTTGGATTCGATGGACCATGCGCTGTTCTGCAGCCAAGTTATCTCTCTTTAGTTGTTCTTCTATGTTTAGATGCATCTCTAACTTGGTTTGAGTTGTTATATCCTTAAGCAACAGTAAAACTAGGTTTAGAGGCTACAGCTTTGATATTTAAAAATGCACAACTAAGAAGTTATTCAAATCAAATCATCAACAACCTGATGAAATATGTACTGAGAACACTGATGGTTTAGAAAAAAATAGTGGGTATAATACGGACAACTTTCAGTTAAATGGCGCTATAGAAAACCAGAAACATGCAAACTATATAGCATAAATATTTGTACAGATCGCTATGGAAGGGAATATGCAGAAAGAGAAAACAATTAAATTACAGGTATCTTTTTCCTTGATTGTATAAATATCCTACAGTGTCATTTTATCTTTATACTCAATCCTTTAGGAAGTAAGTCCTGGGGAATGGCAGAAATAATAACTATGCCTCCAGAGCATCTCATGTGGTTAATGTTGAACATTACTGTGGTCGCAGAAACCTGCCATTAGTGTGGCAGGTCAGGAGTGTGCACTGCTCTGGGTCGAAGGATCTATGGACGCCATTGACCTTACTTCATAAAGAGTACAGAGGGCACACTTGAGCATTTCTTGATTGGCTAAATACTTTATTCTGCACTTAGTCATTTTCAATATGAGTTCATAGGGCTACCTGTCTCTGTTATAAATGCCCTCAGACTGCGTTGGTTTTTAGATTTGATATCTTGTTATTGTAGTTTTTCTTGTTCTTCACATGCCATTGGGCTAAGCACTCCTTTTTCTAACTGGTGTCAGTGAACTCCTTTTTGTCATTTCTACTTTTCGACATTTAATCTATTTTGGAATTGCAAAAGCAAACAAAGCACAACTGTTGAGATCAGGTTGTTGAGAAAGTGTAAATACCCTTTGAGTTAGAGATGGAGAGGCTCTGCTCTGGGTAAGTCTGATGTCTATTTTACTGTTGGAGGACTTCATTTACGCCTTAGTGGATATTTTAAATTATTTTTGGGTTTCCCCAGAAATAATATTTTTAGTAATTGAGACTGTTGAGTAGTTGAGCCTTACATGAAGTATTATTAGAATGCATTTCTATTTGGATCACAGAATTTGAAAATGACATCCCAGGCCTTTATTTTGGCTGGATGCAGAGAATTAAACCCATTTCCTCTTTTATGTAACAACTTAGTCAAACCAAAATCGCTTATTTCACTGCCTCAAATAGCATGTAAAATACATATTTAAAGTTACAAAAATAACTCAAGGAACTACTGTTCGACAGTGCTCTTATTCAGTGGAAAGTCCCCTGATTAAATTACCTTTACTGAAATGCATTTTGAGTGCATTTAAAGAGATACTATAATTTTGAGTCATTGTAAAAAATGGCCTCACAAGATCCACCATATTTACTGCACAGATGTTTGACAGACACACGACACAACGTCTCCCTCAGAAGCCTCCCTCACGTAGTACACATAGGAACATCTGGGCCTCTGTGAGTCTCTGACTTCTTTTTACTTAGGGACATAGGGATTCATGGCATTTTCCTCCTTGCACTGATTGCCAGAAGGCTCAAGCCCAATCATTGTTACTGCACAGGACCTCATGGAATACATACATTTTTAAAGTTTTAAATTCACCCGACTTCATTGTAATTCCTACTCTAATTTTTCTCTTCTCATTTCCTCTTAGCTCCCACCCTCTTTTACTTTTTTGGTATTATTGTATTTGACTAAGAGAATAGAAACACCTTTTCAAAAATACTCTCTCCATTGGATCAGATCTTGAAGCTTTATTTAACATCAGGTATTCGAGAAGTATCCAAATCCTTTACATCCTATTAGAGCAACACCTGGTGGTCTTTACAGGTAAGAATTTAACGGTATTTAGTTCTAAAGAACTCAGTTTTCTGCTCTACTTATTGATAATCTCAAATTTTAATATGTGAGAAACACACAGGCCGCTGGTTCATAGCACTGCCAGCGAGTCTGCAGGGCTCAGGACGCTGCACGTTAAGCTCCCAGGTGAGTAGGTCCTGAGACAGGGGGTTCATGGACGCCCTGAGCAGCAATGCTGCCTATGACAGGTGAATAACCCTGCACATCCCTCTTAGACACACCACTCCTTCATGCTATAAACACACTCCTGAGACAGCAGTATAAATGTAAACTCCTAAACCCTAGAGGAATACTTTAGAAAGGTCAACCTTTAACTTTTCCCTTTTAAATCTTCTCAGGGCTTCTGCCACTTTCCCTCCAGCCTCTGCCCATGAATCACCACGTCTGCGCTGGGTCCTGTCCTGTCGGTCCTGGCCAGCGTGAAGACAGTCCTGCAGCCTTTTCCTCAGGCAGACTTTGTAGCTGAGGCACCGAGTAAACAACCAGTCCCCGGCCCCCTGCCGGGCATTTGCTAATCACCAGCAGTCCTGTGCCTGAACAAGCTGGAAGGGACACCTCTCCCCACGCCTCCCCCGCCCTCCTCTTGCAGGACCTGTGGTCTTGAAGCAAATACTTGAGAAACAGCTCAGGCCTCCCTTTCGGCATCACAGTAATGCAGACTCAGGTAAAAGGATATAATCAGAGAGCCCAGGAGAAGACAGAGAACAGTCCGTTTCCTTCGTTTAACCCTGACTGAGCACTTACTGAGTCACACACTGTGCTGGCCACTGGGCTGGATGGCAATGAGACAGACATGCCCCTGGAGGCTGCAGTCAAGTAGGGGTCAGACACATAACAAGTGGTCGCACAATCCAATTACAACAGTGACGGTGGCAACTGCTGTGAAAGCGGACGGGGTGCCAAGGACAGTATATAGGGGTGTGTGTGGGGGGGGGTGGGGGCAGGACAGAGCTGGTGGGTAAAACTTCCTGTGCGTAGTGATGTTTGAGCTAAATCTGAGGGGGCACAGGGAGCACAATCCAGCAGGCACCAAGGTGAGAAGTGCAAGGGGCGTTCAGGTCCGAGGACCCACAGAAGGGCAGTGACAAGAGGGAAAGAACAGGTGGCAAGAGATGTGGTAGGCCAGGGGGAAAGGGCCGGCTCCTTGGGGTCTGGAAACCCCTATGACCCCCCAAAGCTTGTGGGATTCTGTGCCCACTGAGTGTCCAGCAACTCTTCTATGGCAGTCCGGGGCCTCCCAGCCAACCTCCAGAGACACCCGCCTGGATAGTACACATGACTGGTTTTCACTTCTTCCCTTGCCAGAGCTTTTAGTAATTTCGGTACTTCTAAAAAGACGACAAGCCATTATAAAAACCTGTATTTTTTTTTGGTGTTCCTCTTCCAGAATCTGAAGTCTGATGTTATGTTTGTCATCTGCTTCTTCGAGTGCTTTCTCTACTGCTTGCTTTTGGCGTTCATCGGCCTTTGGAAGGAAGAGTAGTACATTTATCTATTTGTATAATAGCATTTTATGTTTACTAAAAACAAACACCATGGGGCCTCTCATTACTTGCCCTGTTCCCATCTCAAACCCCACATAGCAAACTGTCCGCGGGGGCCGGATGCCTCACCCACCCCAACGGTGGTAACCTTGTAGAAATCACTAGAGCGTGCTGGCCTGGAAGCTACTAGGTTGTCTTTTATTTTTTGTCACTATTTCTTGCTTAATCTGACTATGAGAGTAATATGTGCTCAATGCAGAAAGTCTGAAAACTATAGAGAAGTAGAGATTAAGCTAGAAATTATTAAGAAGGAGGCTGAATACCATCCCACATCCCCTGCATCAAGTCTTCAGAAAACTCATGATTTTATTTGAGAAAATGCCCAGATCCTTAGATTACTAGTATTAACATTGTAGATTACCCACGATTTAAATTTTACTACGAGCCCTCCCCTGCTGGCCATCTTATGGCAGCCATCCTGTGTCCACATGGGGACAGCCTGGTGCATGGGAGGGGGGGGTGCTGGCTGGTTTGCCCTATAGGGTGTCCCAGGTCAGGGTGAGGGTTCCCTTGGGGAATGGGGTAGCCTGGGCGAGGAGCCTGCAGTGGTTTGCAGGCTGGCATGTCCCCCGGCAACCCAAGCTGAGGCCCTGGTATCTGGGATTTATCTATCTTCTATAATGGAAACTTTGTAGCCTTGAGCAGAGCCAAGCCTCCTGCTTGCTCCCTGGCTGCAGCTATTTTTGTTGGGATTTATCTTCTATAATTGAAACTGTAGCCTTGACTATAGGCCTGGCCTACCAGGGCAGGCAAAAAGCTTGGCTTCCTCCATTGTAGGAGGTAACTCAAGCCTTCTGCTCTCTCCAGCTCCATGGCTGTCACCATTTTTGTTGGGATTTATTTATCTTCTATAATTGAAACTTTGTAGCCTTGAGTGGAGGCCTAGGCCAGACAGGGTGTGCTGAATGCTTGTCTTCCTCCATTACCAGGGAAATCCAAGCCTCCTGCTCTTCTATGGCTGCAGCCATCTTGGTTGGGTTAATTTGAATACTTGCTCCTGACTGGCTAGTGGGCATGGTTTGTGGGTATAGTGGAGTAATGATTAATTTGCATATTACTCTTTTATTAGATAGGATATACATAGCCCATGGACACAGGCAATAGCGTAGTAAAGATCTGTAAGGTGGATAGGGGCTAGGAGGAAAGAGGGAAGGAGAGGATGGAAGGTATTTGTAATACCGTCAACAATAAGAAAAAAATTTTTAACTAAAAAAATAAAAGAACTTGCCACAGGTAGCCAGGATTTAACACGAGTTCTGCCTAAATATATTGTTTCCAACAAATCCAAACAGTGAAAGAAAGGTTAACTTAGCTTGATTTGCAATTTTTTACCTGAGCCCACAAACCAGCTTCTGCTTTTGCAATGCGTTCTTGGAGTATAGTCTCTTGAAATAGTTCTTCTTTATACAAAAGATCTGCCCCAATATCTGAATTTGAAGAGAAATAATTACAAGTGTCTACGGATTTATCTTGGCTTCCCTTTTCACTATGATCTAATTATTAGAGTCATCTCAGAGATACACATGGCATTCTTTTAAGAGATGTCAATCTTTTCTCTACAGATACCGAAGAAAGGGCTAAGTTGTTTCCTAGCTGACTAGGAGGGAGTGCACAGCTCTGTTAGGCCTGGATGGAGTCAGTGGTGTGATGTCAGACCACATGGTGGGCAACTGGGGAGGAAAAGTGGCAAAAAAAAAAAAAAAAAAAAAAAGTGCCCATTTTGTACTCCTTCTGAAGAAGAATATCAAGTGAATATTCAAGATTATCCAGCTCCTCTCTCCCTGCTCATATCTGGGTGTTGGTGTCACCTCCGCCCAGGCAGTGGTAGCACAGCACCTTAATATGTCACAGGCCTGTCCTCAGCGTGTAGGTTTTCTTGGTTTTAGCTGCTTCAGGTGTGGAGTGGGTTAAGGGACAATAGTTTAGAACTTGTTCATCAATGATCTAATTTAATTTCTGAATAATAATATTCCCACAATAACACCCTCCCTACCCAAACAAGGAAATGAAATCCTGAAGAGGTGAGAGGACCACACGGTATCAGACAGCTAGGGACGGAGTTGGACCTCGAGCCACACCCCGAGTTCACGGAGCTGGCACAAGGTTCTCTCCGCCTTCTCCTAACAGGCTGTTGTTGTCAGAGGCGAGGACGAACCCTGTGAGCGTTGAAATCACACACAGTGATCTTTCTCTCCGACCCAAACTCCTAGTGTTTATTCTTTATTCCACTCATTTCTCACATCTAAGATTTGTTGAATGATTAACTTTTCATGTGATTAGGTCTTGATGATCAACTACATAAAATCACCAAGCACACCCTACACTGCAGTGTTCTCTCTCATCATGCCGAGCTTGGTAATAAGCACAGATAAGACACTGCGAACTCAGCTGTTTGTCTGCAGAACGTCTCTTCTCTACTTCTGGTAACAGGATCCATTTCTCTCAAGAATTCCCTCTCTCACTTCAGGATAGCTACCTGATAAATTTCATGAAACTATACATGAGGGAGTTGGAGGATAGGGGAGTGAAAGGTGGGGGGGAGAGGGTAGTGGGGAAGAGTGCATATAAGGCCCGTGCCTGAGTTAAATTTAAATGTTTTGTTCCAATACCAATTTCCCAGTTGACAATGTACTAGTGTTATGTAAGATATCAGTTAAGAGAATCTAGACAAGGCGTCAATTGTTCTATTTTTAAAATCTGTGAGTCTTAAACTATTTCTAAATAAAAAGCTATTAAAATATGCAAAAATATTTTAAAAAATAGGCCCTAGCCAGGTAGCTCAGTTGGTTAGAGGGTCATCCTGATAAGGTTGCAGGTTCAATCTCCAGTCAGGGCACATTTAAGAAGCAATCAATGCATGCATAAATAAATGGAAAAACAAATTGTTTTTCTTTCTCTCTCTTTCCCCCTTCTTCTCTCTCTAAAATCAGTAAGTAAATAAATAAAATAATTAAAAAACAAAAACAGCCGAAACCGGTTTGGCTCAATGGATAGAGCGTCGGCTTGGGGACTGAAAGGTCCCGGTTTGATTCCGGTCAAGGGCATGTACCTTGGTTGCGGGCATATCCCCAGTAGGGGTTGTGCAAGAGGCAGCTGATCGATGATTCTCTCTCATTGATGTTTCTAACTCTCTATCTCTCTCCCTTCCTCTCTGTACAAAATCAATAAAATATATTTATAAAAAATAAAAACAACACATGCTGAGGCCTGATTCTAAAGATTCTAATTTAGTGGGTGTTAGATTAGTATTAAATCCAATGAGTCTATGTTTGGATATTCATAGTAAAAACAAATTTTTAAAACTTCTGTATTGTACTGCTAGGCTTGAGAACTACTGCCCTATGCAATACTCACTAGCATTTATATACACATTTCAACATGCCTTTGAGTTTACTTATAAAGGACATAGAATATTGACTCTTTTGACTTTAAATAGTCAATGACAAATGCAGGTCTGGTCATTGAAAAAAAATTAATTTCTAGTTAGATTTAATGTATCTACTTAATGTTTGGATTCAGATATCCCAGAATGTATAAGGAATCAATAATAAAAGCTTATCTAAGAATAGCTATCCACTGCCCTGGGTATAAAAAGTCAAATCATTTTAGAGTTTACAGTTAACAAGTCATATTAAACATTTACTAAAGTTAACCAGTTTTGGTTTTGATATTTTTAGAGGATGATTCCAATTTGATCTCCCCCTACAATTTCATTTTTTCAAAACACCCTCCATTCTCTAGCTTTTATATTTTAAAAAAGTAGAAGTGAAGTTAAATCACTACTGGTTTACCATGTTAAAGGAGAAAAAAAAAAATCAGATGAGTATTTTGAGAGTCCTTAGGAAAACATTTCCAAGGCCCAAAGTCAGACTGAAAACTCTGATGAGAATAAGGAAAGAGGGAACCCCATTAATTACAATTTGATTTATTACAAGTTTATAAGTAGTTAATATTCTCATGTTACCTATATGTAACTACCTTTATGTCACTGGCTACTCATATAGTTTCTTTCACCCATTTATTAAGGTATTAGGGATATTTCCTCTCCCGTGTGCGTGGCAGGTGCTCAAGTATGGGCGAGGACATAGAGATCTCCCACTTACTATTGTGTGCCAGGATTTATAAGAGGTACAATACAGGTGTGGGGGAAAGTGGGTTTATAGTTATTCATATGGAAAATGATGTAATAATTAAAAATAATATAAGAATAAACTTTGTTTCACGGACTCACAACTATGAAACTACTTTTGCCCCGAAACACTGCATTTCTTTAAAGCCTCATAATAAACCTGCAAGATATCTATTAACATCCCTATTTCCATATAAGTTTACAGACTGAGGAAGCTAAGTATCCTGTCCAAGATACACAAATGGTAAGTGGAAAAGCTAGATTTCAACCTGTGTTCTCATGACAAACAGATACCCCTATAGGACAAGCAACTTGGATCAAGAAAGCTGATAAAAATACATATGACAGGAAGAAAGACATACGATGCTATAAACATTAGAACAAAAGTAGACAACGAAGAAGTCACTTACCCAGTATATCTTTGTGAGTGTAAAAGCGTGTCTTAAATGGCTTGTATTCATGGATCTGTTTGAAGATGTCCCCTATAGGAGCTGGTGGAACTATTTTATTACAAACAGCACAGCACACAAAACTGGTGAGATCTGAATTTCTGATCATACTTAAATGTAAAGATGTCTTTTACTATGTACAGTTATAGTACTCTTAGGAGCACAAGAAGTGGTGTTGAGAAAAGCTGGATGTTTAGAGAGGCCCAAGATTCTAGGACAATGCTAGAGGCTGGTAAGGATTAAATGTTCAGCAGTATTAGGTAGTGGTATGCACCTAATGTGAAAGAATGCTGCTGAAAGCCTCTGCATGTAAGGTTGGGAAGATTTAAGCAGCTGCTCCCTCCTGGACACTAGCCTTAAATTGTTAACAGACTTAGCAACTGTTGCTAGGTAAGACAAGCTTTGCTCATAAAAGCAACTAGAAATGGTAAGAAGTGTAGCATGGTACAGCCACTCATTTCCCAAATACTTTCTGTATTAGTTTCTTATTGCTGCTGTAACAAATTGCCACATAGTTGGCGGTTTAAAACAACATAAATTTATTCTTTGGTCAAATAAGTTCAAAATGAATCTTATGAGCCTAAAATTAAGGTGTCAGTAGGGTTTTAGGGAAAATGTTTCCTTACCTTTTCCAGCTTCTGCAGACCACCCACATTGCTTGGCTCATGGCCTTGCATCCTATAGCCTTTTCTCCCCATTTACACGGTGACATCACTTCTTCCTTGGATCTTCTCCCCTTCATAAGGACCTCTGTGAGTATATCAGGCCCTCCCAGATAATAAAATCCTTAACTTAATCACATCTGCCAAGCCTCCTTTGCTATAGGAGATAACAGAGTCATGGGTTCAGAGATTAGGACACGGACATCTTTGGAGGTGGGTGGGGAAGGGGAGCATTATTCAGCCCACCACACTTTCTTTTAAGCGATATAAAGAATTGATTCTTTTTAGATGAGCAAAGGAGGGAGTTTAATTCCCCCCCCCCCCCAGGTTATCTATAATGTGGTTTTGATGCCATGGCAACAAAACTGGGAAATAGCACAGTATTTTAAAGAAAAAATTATTTTTATTAAGTCAGCACTCAGAATTACTAAGCCTGATTTTTGAAATCATATATATATATATATATATATATATATATATATATATATACACACACACACACACACACACACACACACACACACACACACCTAACATGCAAATTGTCCCCCCAGGAGACAATTGTTTGATCAGCAGATCAATCGCTTGCTGTGATGTGCACTGATCATCAGGGGGCGGCGTGGAGCAAAGGAAGGCCCAACCAGCAGCTGGAAGGAAGGCCCTGGCAGACAGCTGGAAGGCCCCGATTGGCCCTGATTGCTGGCCATACCTAGGGATCTCTAGTAGTTAAATAATTTATTGCCCTCATTTTAAAATGTAAAGTCTGCATCCCAAGAATCCCCCAGGCGCCTGACAAACTGGGACACATTGGTCACCTATGAAAGATAAGTCTATAAACCAATAAATAATTTAACTATTTGCTTCAGGGAATTGTGGAAAACCAATTTATCGATTGAACAGCTTGCTCCTCTGGACAAATAGTTCCTCTGTCAGAACAGATTGATTCCCAGGGCAAAAAGGTAACTCAATTAGCTAAGCTCTTTAATATCTTCAAATCAGACATAATCAATCAATAGTCTACTTATTAAGACTTGCTTCAAGACCTAATCTATTACCGAGCTTTGCCTAACCTCAGACAGATTCCCACATTAAAAGACCTTCTTTAACTGCTTGAACTCATACTCCAAAATGCTGTCAATATCTTGCTCTAACCATTCCCTTCTTGGACATGACTGACTTTGACGAAGTGACATTTTCCCTTAGAGAATGAATAAGAACATCAACACACAGCCAGTCTGTGAGGTCAATGGGAGGAAAAGGAGACATATGTACTACTATTTATAATACTTTAAACAATTTTTTTAAAGGCAATAAAATAAAATAAAAAATGAAATAATAAAATAAAAATCAGCCAGCTACACACAGACTGTGCTCTAACTTGTAACCATTCTGTAAAAAGTATCATAGTTAGGTACTTCTTCCTAAAATTCAATGTGATTCTACCTCACACTATTTTTCACAACCATGTGCCTCACTGCTACCTTAGCTCAATCATGTAGACATTCACATGGCTCAAGGCTGTAGCCTGCGCAGTTCCTGCTACGATAATCTCTCGATTGTTCACCTAATATCTCCTCCACCAAATATCAACTTATTTTGCTGAACACTAGAAGAATTCTAAAAGAGGATAATGTGATGCTAAATATGTAAATTGAAAATAATTCAAGTTCATTAGTAACCAAAGTCTATAGGGAAATCATAATTATTAAGCAAAACATAATACTTTACATTAAAAGGTATTTTGCCTGGCCCCTGTAGCTCAATGGTCAGAGCATCAGCCCTTGCACTAAAGGGTCCATTCCTGGTCAAGGGCATGTACATGGGTTACCGGTTCCATTCCCAGCCTGGTTGGGGGCGTGCAGGAGGCAACCAATGAATGTGTCTCTTTCACATTGATGTTTCTCTCTCTCTGTCCCTCTCTCTCTCTTTCTCTGTCATGCCCTTCTAATCTCTCTAAAGATCAATGGAAAAAATATCCTCTTTGAGGATTAAAAAATGAAAAGGCATTTTTTTTAAATATATTTTTTATTGATTTTTTTACAGAGAGGAAGGGAGAGAGATAGAGAGTTAGAAACATCGATGAGAAAGAGCCATCGATCAGCTGCCTCCTGCACACCCCCCACTGGGGATGTGCCCGCAACCCAGGTACATGCCCTTGACCGGAATCGAACCCGGGACCCTTCAGTCTGCAGGCTGATGCTCTATCCACTGAGCCAAACTGGTTTTGGCTGAAAAGGCATTTTATACCACCTAAGTGCAATTTAAACTATATAAAGTGTACCACATAGAGGAACATCGCAAAATAAATAAATAAATAAATAAATAAATAAATAAATAAAATTAGGGCTCAGCAGCAAAAATTTAATTTAGTTGCATATAGGTAACTCAATTAGCTAAGCTCTTTAATATCTTCAAATCAGACATAATTGCATTTTCATGTGTCTTTACAAGACCACAATAAAGTTTTGGAAATTAAAAATTTACATGACAATGACAAACTCTACTAAATGAAACAAAACTTCAGAGATGAGATTGCTGAGTCCTAATTACAATGATTTAGAGAATGGGATAAATGTCCAGAAATAGAACAGATCCAGAACCCTGTGAGAAGGATTTAAATTATATCAGGTAAACCCAGGACAGTGAGGAGGCCTTCCTATTTATTGAGTAGTTCTAGTTTTAAAATAACTATAAGAACATCTGGTCTTATGTTTATCACTGTAACATTAATTTACAAAAATTAAAATAGATAATGTGGAGAGCGGCTACAGCATTGGGACAGGATCAAGCCTTGGACTGACTTGGGCAAAACCACACACAAGTCCCAGCTTGGAATGCAAAGCCCTCCCAGCACAATTACAGCCAAAAGGCTATGGTTGTAAGCTTGACTTTATCATCCGACCTTGCAGTCCTAGGTTGCTAAGGGATGTGGGCTGCAGGGGGGTGGGGAGGGGTGCAGCAAGTGCTGCCTAAACAAGGCTTGATAAGAGTTCAGGAAAGCAGCAGATTTGAAACTCGCAAGAACACTGTAAACATCTTGCCCTTGTTTTGCTTTGTATGATCTGACTATAAAGCTTTGGCTTACAGGCTATGTCACTGTTTCCTCATCCAGGTAATGATCCACCTGGCCCCAACTGTATTCTCTCGTGTTTTCTTTAATCCTTCACCGCCCCTCCTCAAGTTCACCACTGGCCCTGCTGGATGTGTTTCAGATAACAGTTGTAGTAAAAAACAACACCATACCTCATTATAACATACTTTTCCTTTTTAAAAAAAAAACCCCAATTACTTTGGATTATTCTCTCATTTAAACTTGGTTTTTAGTAGTTGAGTGGGACTATCTTTTAAAGTAAAATAAAATTCTGGACCAAAAATAGCTAAAATGAAAAACCAAAATATATAAACCATCTGTGACTTTGTAAAAACTATTTGTCTATAACACTGACAATAACGTACAATTTACAATAATTTACAATTACTTCTTTTTCTTTACAAATATAGATTCTATGCCAGGTAGAAAATAAATATTTCCTTTGGAAATAGCAAAACAAAACTAAACCCTATTGCAAATGCACAACTCATCTTAAAATATTAAAAATACTGTGCAAATTTAACAATACAAGGTACTTTATTATACAGAACTTAATAATTAACAAAAATTACTTCCATTCTCATGGTACTTTTATAAGAGGATTTAATTTAAAAATATATATTGAGAAGTTTTCTGTGGAAAACGAATAAGATAATGGCTGCAGTTTGGAAAAGAAATTTTTTACTATAGTGATTTGGTTGCAACTGTACAACAAACATGATATTATGCATTTATAAAGTCTACCATTTGATGATTCCAGAGCCTTTATTTAGCTCCATCCATAGTAACCAGCAATATTAATCCCATTTAGATGTTTTCCTCCTCATATAGCTGTGTCCCTCACTGTCAATAGCTTCATAGAGGTCCTTTTTATTCTCTTGTGTTGCATGTAGATAACCGATATAAGCCACGCATAGCGAAAGCGTTATCAATCCGAAAGCCATTACCGGTTTGTTCTGTCAAAGAAAAAATTACAAAGCCTCAGTAACACTAAGAATTTGAGGAGACCCAAATATCTGTTGCATTTTCCTCTTGACAAAATAAGTCTTTTTTACCACACTAGCATTCCTATGATATTCTGAATTAGAATAATTTTTTTAGTTCTTTATTTAATTAACCCAACTCCTGATAATTTAGACTGTAGAAGACTTGCTTCTCTTCTCCAGTCTTTCTTCTGCCTGTAGCCGGGACATCTCAAACCTCCACCCTCAGGAGCGTGATGTCTGGGCAAGAAAAGGAACAGAGGAGACGAGAGGCATGGAAATAATCCAGTGCTCAAGTTTTCAGTGTTATCTGTGTGACATAGAGAAGCTGCTTAACTTCATTTTATTAGGAGGTGAGGGGTGAAGTGTACATGCTATTCTTCTCTCCTGAGTTCATGAACAACCGGCAAAAAGCCTTTTATGTCATACGCCAGGTACACCAGAAATGGCCATGTATATGCTCTCCTCTAGGAACCTATTCTAGCACCTCAGAAATTTAGTCAGGGGAACAGATAGGATGCTGTTATAACGACCTTGATTTTCTACTGGGAAATCCAAGATTCCAAGAGGCAAATCAACTAGCTTTGAATTTTAAAACAGTTTTTAAATGTAGGAAAGATGTTCACAACTCCATAGAAGTGTTATCTTTATTACTCAATTCAGATGCTCCCATTTGTGTTTAACAAATGGGTCTTTCCTGGGTCGGCGTGAGTTACTACACAAGTGTCAGTTTATATTGTTTCTGTCACCATACCTGCTGAATACTACTATTTCGAATCTTAATCCAAAGAATAAAGATCAAACTTTTCCATATGAAAGACATCTAAGAAAGGCCACAAACTCAGAGTAGTTTAAATCTGCAATTCTTAAAATGCATCTGACAATTAAAAAACTCATTAGTTCAAAGTTTTTAAAACATTCTACCTTGATTTAATGATTTGATTGTTAAATTGACCCTTGAGTCTGAAGGCCAACTCTCTATCCACTGAGCCAAATCAGTTAGGGCTGTTTTGAAAACTTTCATAAAATGTCTGCAATATGCCTTAGGTAAAAACACTATTAATAGAAGCTAGAATTGTCCATAATAATGATGAGATTTTTTTCATTTTGTTCTGTTTCATTGGAAAGTCTAATTTACTTAATAGAACCTGATAAAACATTAAAAATGTCCTTCAAATTAATACAGCTATTAGAATTTCAAGTAGATCCTTGAAAATACAATCATTTTCCATTAAAATTTTCAAATGTCCTTAAAACAATTAATTTTAAATGTGTATTTAGTGAAATAGCATTTAAGATCTTCCTTTCAACTGCATTTATTCAAAGACATCTTAATAATCAACACAAAATTTCCATGATCAAATTAAATGTCACAGGAAAATAAGAGTTTCTATTTATGACAGCCTCGTTAAATTAAACATAAAGTCTTATCCCGGCGTATCTTACCGGTTTAATGAAGAGCTCCGGGTTCACAGCTCGAAATAAAGTTGTTGTCCGGACCCCTCGGAGCCCGGGGTTTCGGAAGTCTTTCTCTTTGGGCGGCTCCTTTTTTACGGCTGAAGGCTCAGGTGCTGAAGACATCTTGACTAATGATGATTTATTACCTAAAAATAATTTAAGAGACTTTTTCCATTTGTGATTTTTTTTATAATGCTTTTTAAAACGCTAATTTTTTTAAATTACAGCCCAGATATATACCAAAAGTGACTGTCAATTATTTTATTACTTTGTAAAACGCATGCTTTGTCAATGGTGCTTTAAGTTTTGTTTGACAAAATGGTTATTTTCTTTTTCATCTCTCAGAAGAAACCAGTGAATTGAGCAAAAGCTTTTTCTGACAGAAGCCTGGAGAGAATTATTTGTTCGTCTGAGTCGCATTGTATCTTACTATCTGAAGGAGTACTAGGCTAGGAGTGGCCATTGGTTATCTGCAGTCTTCTCTATTTCCTTCCACTTCCAGTCTTTCTCGCCTTCCACAGCGCTCTCAGGACACCAATCTGAGAGAAAACTAGCATTCTTTTGCTCAATTTCTCCTACAGCTCACCCCGTCACAGTTTCCCTCAGGCTCCTCCCCATCTCCACTGGCCAAAGCAAGCACTAGTACTATGCAGTAAGGGTAAGTAGCTGTTTGTCCTCACTCCCTCTTTGCCTATAGCTATGCCAGGAACACTCCTGGGCTTTGTTTATACAAGAATTCTTTTAAAAAATATATAATTTATTGATATTTTACAGAGAGGAAGGGAGAGGGAGAGAGAGTTAGAAACATCAATGAGCCAAGACCGGTATGGCTCAATGGATAGAGCATCGGCTTGGGGACTGAAGAGTCCCGGGTTCAATTCCGGTCAAGGGCATGTACCTTGGTTGCAGGCATATCCCCCGTGGGGGGTGTGCAAGAGGCAGCTGATGGATGTTTCTCTCCCATCGATGTTTCTAACTCTCTATCCCTCTCCCTTCTTCTCTGTACAAAATCAATAAAATATATTTAAAAAAAGAAAAAAAAAGAAACATCAATGAGAGAGAAACATCAATCAGCTGCTTCCTACACACCCCCTACTGGTAATGTGCCCACAACCAAGGTACATGACCTTGACCGGAATCAAATCTGGGACCTTTCAGTTCACAGGCCAACAATCTATCCACTGAGCCAAACTGGTTAGTATTCTTTAAGTCTTCCATTTTATAGACTTTACTAGAGGCCTGATGCACAAATTCGTGTCAGGCCAAGGGAGGGAGGGAGGAGAGAGACACAGGAAGCTGGCCGGCCCCACCTCTGATTGGGGTGGGAGGGGCCAATCGGGGTAGGGCTGGCTGGAAGGAAGGGCTGCAGGCAGTTGGCTGGTTGGCCCAACCCTTGGTGGAGCTCCCAGTAGAGGGGGCAATTTGCATATTAGCTTTTTATTATAAAGGATAAAAGCAATATTCTTGCAACTTTATTAGTTTTAGCAGTTCAGTTTTTTTTAAACATCTTTGCTGCAGTAGTCACTAAATATTGATCTATCCCACTTAATTGGATAAACATCTCATCAGGAAAATCGGCCTAAAGGGAAAGGACAAATGATAGTCAACACTTTCTACACTTGCAAGGACTTCTGAAATGTTCATTGTAAGTGGTTCCATCACGTGTTCCCTTGGATGTTATGGCTATCATTGTCATCAGACTCCCATCATCACTTTCTGGTTCCATCCTGACGTTAGTCAGCACTCCTGCAGCAATTGCAGGATTTTCTAAGTCTTTGGAAATAGTTAAATTGATACTTGCAAACATGGTCTTCAAAATCGAACTGATTTGGGAGACCAGTGACTAGCAATTGAGTACCAGGCTAGTTCAAATACCACATTTGGTTTTTGGTCTTCTTCCAATTTAACCTTAGGGGATTCCTCAGGAATCATGCCTGTTTTCTTCAAACATTTCACTACTGTGGATGGCTCTACCTACCACCGGGTCTCAGCAACCACGTCAATGGCTTGCTTTGTTTATTTTCGGTTTTCCCTTCATCATTTAAATTTAGAGTTGTTTCTGCAATGAGCTCTCACTGTACAAATTATAACCTAATCAGATGGCTGCACAATTCAGTGGGAAAACTCAACACGTGCATGATCCAAGCTGAGGAGAATGTTGTGGGCAGAGCAACTACACCAGCAAGAGGATATTGCATTTTGCTCCTTTCATTCTCTTGCCAACCTTCCTCCGCCATTCATTAAAAATTTAGAGTTGCCTATTAGCTTGGTAATCACAGAGGAGTAAGTGAACATTTCTGAAGCCCTAAGGGTTTACTGACATTTCGGTGTAGGATGCATTACGGAAGAACAGAGCAATCAACCTGTTTACCTCCTTTTGCAAAGTCCACCTAGGGCTTGAAGTATATGAGATAACAACTCATAAATATCATCAGCATTTAAAACATCACTCAAGCTGTCACCGGTAATTGCTTTTAAAAAAAAAAAAAAAATTCCTTCTGCTTGTGAATTACTAAATCTCTCTACTGGAACAGTGTTTTTTTCACCACAGACAATTTCTCAAGGAACTCTCTAGCATGCCTACAATTTCTTCAGCCGGCACACAGTTGCTTGAATCTCAACATGCCCAAGGTTGGTAAAAAAATCCAATGCTTTCTGCTGAACAAATGGTCCACTTACAAGCCCAACTCTTGTACAAACCTGTCAATACCATACAAAAACAACTATAAAAGGGACTTTGAATTCAATTCTACTCTAGTCCCAGAATCCCTTTAACTTCCAATTCAGTTTTGGCTCAATATTTCAAAAATGTAGGAGTGATGTTAAATTCCTCTGTTACTTCTCCTTTCTTGTGGCAACCAGGTACTGCTTCTATTGCTTTCATTTTCTTCTATGAAATCTGCTGGCATTTCACCTTTCCCTCTTAGCTATGGGAGGAGGATAAATGGCATGTACACATGTTTTTTGAAATTAAGTCAAAATGTTGGTCACCCAGTGGCTCAGGCTAGGTGCCAGTGATATTTCTACTTATGCTAATGATGTGTTTGAATGTAATGTGGGAAGAGAAAATTCAGAAAAAAAATCATTAAAGTGGAAACAGTATTACAGTCTGTAAATAGACTCTGCCTATTAGAAATGTAAAGCAAGAAACAGTTAACATGATAGCCATGTTGTTGGGACTGAATCACAGTCTCAGAGTACACCACTAATTGAAAGTGGGCATTATATAAAAATCTAACAAGGCCTAAAAAAGCAAATATACAAAGGTGAAAGCCATGCTTAGCAGAAACTGACAAAAGCAGCATTTTCCTTTAATTATTGAAAACTGGTTATGTATAATTAAAACAAAGTAACCTGGTTTAAAATTGTTTACGGGGAAGAAAAGCAAGATAATGAGGGAGGGAGGTACAGGGAGCACAGACTGTAGAGCATAACAGGTGTCTGTGTTTGAGTAAGTCACCCCTCTGGGCCTCAGTTTCTCCTTTATAAAAGGGGTAATAGGAACCACTGCGTAGAATTACCGTGTGCATTAAACCAGAGAACATTTCTAAAAGGATTATGTTCAATATATATATGGTAGCTACGGTCATCCTCACCAACATATCCAATAAATGGTAGGTAGCTACTGTTATCCTCACCTTCTGGTCCAATCTCCTTTTTTAAACAAAGAGAAACCTAAGCCCAAAGACACTCTGCCTTTGGCTATGGGAGGAGGGGATACTCTGGTCTCTCAATCTGGCCCACCCCTATGCCACAATCCACTTTACTCCTAAATCGATAAGCCTGAGCATTTATGTTATCACAAGAGATAAGAAACATAAACTTGTAATCACTTAAATTTTTAAAAAATTGATTCTGTATTGTTTCTAATGTAAAAAAAAAAAAATTACTACGTAGTAAGAAGCATCTTTCCATCTCTTGGGTTTACTGTACCTGAAGTAAGGAGGGTTTGACAGGGGCTGTTGCGGGCCATCTGAGAGCTATTTGGGTGCACTCCCCTCCCTTATGCTGTGGTCCCTACGCTGCAGCTGGCTCAAAAGGCAGGTGCATCCCAAGCCTCAGAAAAAGAAACTGCACTCAGCTGAGCCCAGGCGCTGCCTTGCAGGGAACTCGGGGCTGTGAACAGCTACAAAAGGAGGCACCGCAGGTGGAAACAAGGACAAAACCATTTCCCCCAAACCAGTGTTTCCCAAACTTCTCTCAGGATGAGAGTCACCTGGTGGAGTTGTTAAACTACAGATTCCTGAATCCCAACTAAGCAGTGCTAAACTAGAATTTTTGGGAACATATAGGTAACATTTTGGGGAACATATACTTAGTTAAGTATACAATGTTACCTATATGTTCCCAAAAATTCTATATAGTTTAGCACTGCTTAGCTGGGATTCAGGAATCTGTAGTTTAACAACGCCACCAGGTGACTCTCATCCTGAGAGAAGTTTGGGAAACACTGTCCTAAACAGTTTGGGGAGCTAGTGGGGCACCAAGAAACTGTCCAGCAAACGGGAGGGTCTGTCCATCCGGGTGGAGGGTCCAGGATGCGGGTCACGGGTCACGGGCAAGGGTCCCGTGGGGTCAGTCACGTCCGAGACCCGGCTCCGGGCACCCGAGTGGCGAGGGCCCCGGGTGCTGGGCAGAGCCCCGCGCACCTGGAAGTGCGGCCCGCAGGGCGGCCGGGCCCGCGAAGGCCGGGATCGAGCGTGCGGCCGGGCGACCGCCCAGCCCCGCCACCCCCGCCGCTCACCTGCCGCAGAGGCCTCTCCTCTCGGGCCCGCGACGCTCCGCCTCGTCTCTGCCTGCGGGAAAGAGCGTCCTACGCGCCCGCCGGCTCTGCCCCACAGCGACGCCTACCGTGCGGAGGCTGCGGCGCGGGCGCTGCAGGCACGAGGCTCCAGTGACTCAGGGGCCTTGCGCCCGCCCCAGAGGATGGGCTGGCTGGAGTTTGCAAGGGGTGTGTTTTGATTTCTCACATTTTTACCGTTGGCTTTCAGCCTCCCAGGTTCAAATAACTTTCCAACTGCGGGTGTGTTTTGTGAAAATAAAAGAAGGCATCATCTAGAATTGTATAAGTTTATATAATGGAAGGAGAAAGCATTATAATTTGGGAAAGAAGGCTTAGGTAT